ATACACATATATACATACACATATATATATATATATACACACACACACACAGTTTTTGTATATAATATACAGAGTATGGTTAATATGTGAATATTTCCTTCGGAGCGCAACAAATAATTTTAGAACCTTTACAAAAGATCATGTCTGGTAACAAACAGCACTCTCAAAGTGAAATATTTGACTGCTCTGCTTAACACTTTGTTCTTTTTTTGCGGTTACTATATTAAAAATTATTTACTACTCAGTCTCTTGTTTACATCACAATACATATGATAAAAGGTTCAGTTTGCCATATATAAATTCAGCCACTAGAGGGCCCCTTTGAGCAATATGGGGCTCTAAAGCACTCCAAATGGCTTGGGCAGCTCAATCTCACAATATCAAATTCATTTGGCCTACTGCAATATTTATGATGTTAAAATGCACTTATAACAATAGTAAGCATCTTAAAAATACATTCATCTCTCTGAATCAGTTGATGTTTGCAGCACACAAGTGTTGAAATAGTTGTTGCATTTACCTTGTAGAAAAGGGAAGAGTATTCACCCTCACTAATTTCTTTGAATAAATTGGGAATATTTCTGATGACAAGCAATTCCTACATTCGGTAGTGCTCAATATCAACCCCAAGGGAAGCACTATCACATGTAATGCTTGCATTGGGAGAATTGCTTGCATGGACTGAGCCATGTATGACCACTTTAAGATACACATAACATTATAATAGCAATCTGCATCCACCATTTTGTAGAACTGATTAGGCCACCCAAAATGTATCTCCCCTTTTTTGTGACATCCGAAAGACCACAGATCTTTTACACCTCATAGTCATATTGTTCATACTTGTTCTCTCCTGATGATTTTACTGACTGCTTACATAAGAAATACTAGGAGCCTGTCTAAACCAAAATTCACATATCCAGTCCTGTCTGCATCAGACATGATGAAAACCCGAGTTGTAATATTTTTTGTGTGCTGTACACTTTGGGGGTCCATTTATATTAAAAAAAAAATTGCAGCCATTCGTCCTGAACAACTGCATGCACATTAATTCTGTGAATGGGGCAAAAACAAATATTAGTATATGTTCTTTCCAGTCCCAATGTAATCAATTCATAAGAGTGCAGTGATCAGGAGAACCAGATGGAGCCGAGGATCATAGGTAATGAATACTTATTTCCTATGCTGCACCCAGTGGCCATATTATGGTAATTTTCCTGTTACTGTATTCAACCTGGAAAGAAAATATACAAATAACATTTGTTTTTGACCCCCAATTCCTTAGAGTAAATGTACATACAGTTTCACTGTCTCACAGGATGAATGGCTCGACAAATGATTTATAAATAAACCCCTTTACGTTGTTGGTCCCATACTGGCTGCAGGTGCACCCAAAGAAAATGACCTTGTTACTAATTATAAGAGAAGCATATTTTTACTACACAAGCTTGATTATTTCTGTTTCTTGTGCATGACCAGTATGCAAATAAACAAAGAACCAAATAAGCCTGAATAATAAAAATAAGAAATATTTGCATGTCAGCATGGAGATTCATTTTTCTCTTTGTACTCTAACTCATAAGCAAGGTCATTTCAAACAGAAGGAGATGTGGAAACTTTATCTAAGATGATACCTCAAAGGGCTATCACCTGCAAGCTTGAATCATCATTTCTTCCTTATATTAGTTTTCTTTGAGCTCCTTGGAAGGGTGCTACTGTAAATTTGTGTGCGACAAGAAAAAAAGAATTTGAGATGAATTGGCTGAAATTCCTTTGTCGAAAGAGCCAGGTTGAACATTTTTGGCTGAGCAGCGACTGCAGCAATGAGATGCAGTCACTGTTCTTGTACTCGGAGTGTGGCAGGCACCCATTTGTCAGAATACTATACCTGCAGTGGTAGATGTGTCCATCCAGGCCCTATGTATGACTAATTCGGTTTGTCAGCTCTTGCCTTTACTACACAAGGCACAGCTGAACATTAGTACTTGTGTAACAAGAAAGGAAAACATCTCCCTCTTATTTCTCAAAATGTTCTGAGGCAGGACCTGTCAGTGCATGGGGAAGAAAATCTGGTGTAGTACTAATAGCAGAAAGCAGCTGGAGTTTGAGGTCCTTAAAGAGTATGTGACAGCAAAATTAAAAAGAAATATATACAGTACATGCACATTTGGCAAAAATACCTGGTAATCTGCTAGAAATGCACTCAGCTCCAAAATGCCTATTGTGGCCTAACAACACACAGCATTTTTTCTCAATTGACTGGTGTCATCCCTGCCCACTGTCCTTTGCTAAACTACTCAACCACTCTACTGTGTTCTTATGCACAGCACAGGGACTGTTCAGGCTAAAAAGTATCTTTCCAAAGTTCCGCCTGGTGTACTGTATAGCCGGATGGATGTCATTAGCATGGCACTAGTGCCATTAGATGGGACTGAGGAGAATAGGAAATTCTTATACTCCTCAGCACCATCTATTGGCGCTAGTGCCATGCTAATGACATCCATCCGGCTATAGGCTCGGGCAAAATTTATAAATGAACCCCAAAGCATGAAAAGAAACAATTCAACCTAGCATTATTTCTTTATTTAAGCATTTTAGAACAGTGTTGATACAGAATAAGGCATAAAAGACTATCCAAGTAAATCATCTGCTAATTCACTGTCACTGGGGTGAATATAAAGTTCCAATTAATGTACAGAGTGTGCCCCCTTGACTGTATATAACCCTATGCCCTTGATAGATTTAAGTCAACGCTGCGTCTTATAAACAGATCAACAGGATCATTTGAGGAAGCGAGATTATAAATACACCAAAAACAAAGAGGGGAATTGATCAAAACTGGAGCAGATAAAATCTGGAGCAGTTGCACAACCAATGAGCTTCCTTCTTTAATTTTTTTTCAATTAAGCTTTGAAAATGAAAGAGAGAAGCAGATTGGTTGGCAGGGGCAACTGCTCCAGATTTTGTCCACTCCAGTTTTGATCAATTCCCCTCAAGTGTATGTTAGGCACCCTAGACTGAAAACTGCTGGCAGTATTATTTCTACAAAGTAGTACATTCTGCATACTTGATCCCAGAGGACAACTTGTCTATTGTTCCATCGAGATGCTCCAGTAGATACAACTTTTTTCATGTTTCCTAGAAACAAAACTTTACTGGCTCTATGGGTTTTGCCATCAGATTCCTGTAACAATAACATGAAAACATTTAAGAGTCATAATAAACGCAGATATAAAAATACCATCATTGGTTACGGAGTAATGGCATCACATATGAAGCTTAAAAGGAGAAGTGCACTTTGGGTTTACATACTTATACTACATATAGAGTGCACTGAACAATAGATTTACAATTATCCTCTGCTAATATGAATGGGTTAAATGATCCGTAGTACATGATATGTAGCCCTGTACCCCCTTTTCCACTTACAGAGCTAGGTTATTTTTCTTTTAAATAAATATTAATGTATTTTAATGGTATCTATCTACCAGTAGCTGCCTCATTTCCCACCCTCGGCTTATATTCGGGTCAATACTTTTTCCCAGTTTTTTTGGCTAAAATTAGGTACCTCGGCTTATATTCGGGACGGCTTATACTCGAGTATATACGGTATATTTTTTCCTGCCCTTACTTCATAGACACAGATTTCTGTGACTTTACACTGAACAATGGCAGGCACAAAAGCTAGCGCAGTACCACAGAGCCCATGAGCTCCTGGAAGGATGAAGATGCTGCTGGCCACTGGCAGCCAGAGCAGTGTAACGCCGCATAAGAGCTGGTGGAGGAGGGTGGAGAAAGACAGTTGGGGGGGGGGAATTTATCAAAACTGGAGCAGACAGAATCTGGAGCAGTTGCCCATGGCAACCAATCAGCGTCTCTCTTCAGTTTGCTCAGGTAAGATTTGAAAATGAGACAGAGAAGCTGATTGGTTGCACTGCAAATCTGCTCCAGTTTTGATAAATTCCCCCCAATGTATTCCCATACTGCACTTTTAATGTGGAACTCCAGGCAAATAGCCAAACACAAATTTGGTTTACAGATGTTTTATTACATGCCAGAGGTTTGTAATGCAGTACAGCCAATTTTGTGAATCCTACACCACAGCCAGGCAGGTGGGACACTTATTTTCTGGTTCAGAGATGAAGCTTCCTATGTCCCCTCTCAATCTCCAGTCTACTTACTGGTCAATGAATCAACATTATCACCATTCAATGAGCAGCTAAGATGCAATAAATCTGAACCTGGAATAAGTCGAATGATCTTCCTGGCTGTGCGCTGTGGAAGATATGTGGGAATCAAGCATGGCTAAACAGAATTACAAATCCTTATGCAGATAAACAGCATGCATACTGTATATGTAATGTATTAAAACTATGTATTTAGCTGTTTCCATGAAGTTCCATAATAATGTTAACCAACATCAGAAATGAACACCACCAGGATGACCACAGATATGAAAACCTAGCCCACTCACAACTAAAAAAGAACTGCTCTGACACTGTTATATACCAGTTATAAATCAAAACTAAAAAAGGGGCAAAGCAGGTATCTTTAAAGAAAACCATCATAAGAAAAATACAGCCGACACTGGTAAACAGCTTTTGGAAATGCTAGCCGCCTGGCCATCATACCGACTCCCTGGCCCCAATTCTGAGCCAGTGACCCACAACCAACCTAAAAAAAAAAAAAGAGCCAGGCTGTGGGTAGATTTTTATTTAGACAATAAGCTTTTTGTGAATGGAAGCAAGGTCTGTAGGGGGTATACAGGTGTAAGGCAGAGCCAGCGGTCACTCACGCAGCTGGGTGGATCTTGACTGTATTGTCGGGATCCGTCCTGGCTGTGGCGCTTTCAGTATTGCCTGCGATATACTGAGATATAGGTCACGGAAGGAGGTTAGTATATGTATTCCCGTGACCCTAAAGAGAACTATGGGGAAAAACACTTACCCCATAGTTCTCTTTTAATCCCCAACTTTTGAGACAAAAACAACACTTTGCAACAGCATAGTTCAATTAACAGGACCTTAAACAGGAGTCAGTTGCCAGCCATGGAAGATCAGCGGAGGCATGACCAAGTTGACTTTCTGAGGAAAAGTCAAATGTATACCTTAAAAGGCCTTTATGTCTGTATCCGCTCATAGCTTTGACCTGCAGTTTTCACTAATGCTTATGTACTTTGACCGAAAATTGCCATAATATACCTCAATACCGATTGCTTTCTATGCCCATCAGGTCCATTTGAATGTGTTTCAGTTTTAGAATATCAGGAACCATGGGAGACCTTTGGCATCATTACGCTGAGCCTACATGAACTGATGCTTTGTGGCTGTATTGAGTGATTTCAGCATATCCTCATTTTAAAATTAAAATGTCCTGATTTTTAAATGCACAAGTAGGTCATCAAAGAAAACAATGTAATATTACTAATCACAACAAGGTTTTTACAAGTTTTTGAGGAGAAACTCAGATGCAGAATTTGATGTTTACAGAGAGCTCATATGTACCCTTCAGCCTCTGGTAGCTACAGATCTTTTGTGAGTTATTTTTGTGTTAATAATAATGGTGTGCTGAGCAAATATTTATTTGCATGTCATGCAAATGCCACTGAAGTATATAATAGCACTGCTGGTGGCCGATATTAAGATGTTAGTGGTGGGAGATCTTAAGCTACAGAGAACTTGCCACCTGTTAAAAAACAATACTGATGTGCAATTATTTTATTATGCATTGCTTCTGATAATAAACTCCACACAACTAATAACAGGCTTTGTCCCTTGTGGTACACAGAAAGGTGTTTCACCATGGGGTCTATTTATACATGTTTTGATGCATAATAAACACAACTTTTACCTCAGATTTTCACATATTTCTAATTAGATTCATTTGGAAAAATGTGTGAATAATTGGTTAAAGTAGTGTGAATCGTGTGAAAAAAAATGTATAAATAGAGCCTCAGTGTTTGTGATGAATAGTTAATTATGACTAAAACCAAAACACAGTCACTGTGACCATAATATCTACAGCAAAAGAAAGAACATACAAACCTGTAATACACTCCCATTATGGGGATCAATTATTCTAATTTTTCTGTCTTTGCAAGACGTTGCCATAAGACTTCCATTTGTGCTGAATGACATGGAAAGAATTACATCTTTATGACACTCTATTGTCCTGACTGGACTATGAATTACTGGATCATCATTATCAAGGTTCCATATCATGATCTGCAAAAAACCCCCCACAAATAATTAGTATGAACGAAACATACTGTTTATTAATACAAATAACACAAGTTATCTTTACAGTTGTTCAGGTTAAAGTGAACTTGTAACTTAAAAAGAGGGAGGGAATTCGTAAAGCTTCAACACTACCTGGAAGTCGCAAAACTATGCCAGTTCAGAATGGGCAAGAATTCTGGGAATAGCCGAGGACAATGAAAGCTTGTGCCGGTATGTTCTGGCACCTATGTATCTCCAAGCAGATTTCTTAAATGCTCATACTATTTTGTGGTTTATTTCACTGGGCTTCAATAAAGCTGTAAAAACTAGAACTATGGGGATGCATCAGAAACAAAGCAAATCTCAATGAATCATGAATTCGGACAATGTTTGTTTAATGGCATTTAACACAAACTGGCAGTGTGCCAAGTATCAGAACAAGTACTAGTTCTATGTATCTACTTCGAAAGGACTACTGCAAAACTTAACAAATGGAAGCAGCCTCATAAATAAAGTATGATGTGCCCTAGTACTACTTGGTGTTGCAAATGAACAGTCACCTTCATTGACTGTTCCTGCCACCGTAAGGCATACACAGCAGCAGCAGCAGCAGCAGCAGGGCCCAGTTACTACAGAAGCCGGGAGTTTGTTTACATGTGTAGTGAAGCTGGAAGTGAAGCTTAATCAGTTCCACAGGTCGCCTAAAAGGTACTGCCTCACCCAACCCATCCCCTTTCCACTCTCCCCGCTGGACTACTCCCGCCATGTATCCTGAGCTCCACTGTCCCTACTTTTAGTGAGGGGTTTAATTAACCTTCAGGCTTAAAATATGCATTTTAAGAAATGTGGGGAAAAAAGCTAGCAAAAGAGCTCCGACAGCGAAAGGGTTAATCGTGGTCAGTCAGAAAACTTTGGGGGCTCAACACAGAGCTGAAGATGACAAAATTTGGATTTTCTAAAGACTTAGTACAGTACACATGTCATAAAGCAATGAAAGCACAGTTTATTAAAAACTTAATACAGTCCATTGCTTACTTAAAAAAATTGCAATTTTATTTTTGAATAAAGGATAATTAAAGCCTTGCATGTTTTTGCATATATCCACTGATAGCAAGCAGTAGCTATATGCAGAAAAACATAAAAAAGTTTACAAAAAGGGTTAAAAGTTACCTGTATATCTCACCTGCGCACTCCCGTCCGAAGATCTGAAGATTTTCGGGTAACCACAAAAGATCATGGGGCGGAAGCATGTGCATTACAGATCTTCGGCCGGGAGAAGAGGAGAGACACAAGGTAAGTCAATGCAGGCAGCGTGCACCCGCACAGACTCTGGGACGCAGCAGTCAGCGCTTGATCAGAGACTGGCACCAGCACTGGAGGGACTCCTGAAAACTACTGGAAAGAAGATGATCAGATCAAGAGGCTTAATTTAAGGTAAGTCCTTACACCAGCAAAGGGGTGGGGGATTTTGCCTTTAATGTCACTTTAAAGGCAGGTGCAAATATATTCTCCTGGTCAGGGCTGTTAAAGGGTTTCATTGCACACCCTTCAGAATCTTGCAAGTTACATAGATAGAGAGCTTCAGGTCAGTGTGCACCAACACTCCATAACATTGCATACTTTGGTGGAGGGAGCTAAGGGAAACTGACATAGACCAGTTTTCCTAGACATGCCTTCCAAACCTAAAACAAACAAAAAAAGGTAGGTAGCCTGTTATTTTTTTTTTATAGCATGTGGAAAAGTTAACATTTTTGGCATGTTTTATTTGTCTATGACCACACTGGTGAGACTTCCCTCACCTCCTGTACCTGCGATGTCTGTACAAGAAATGTGGAGGGCAGTCATTATCCTACATCACTAGACAGATTGACAATTACTTTCTATTCTAGCAGGAAGTAAAGGGAAATCTCCCCAACAAGGACATAAAGGCAATAAAAACCTGACAGAGGCTCTAACCCTTCCCGGCTCTATCAAAAACGAAGTAAAATGTTAAGGTTGGAGTTGGGCTTTAACATCAAGGCAAATGCCTCTAAATATAACAACGTTTATTACCTTATAATCATAGGCAGTACTGAAAATAATATTGCTTGCTGTGGGGTGCCATTCAATAAGACCAACTCTCCTGGAATGACCCAAAAGCTCTTTCCTGGCATTAGTAATATTCTTGGTTGAGTAAGGCTTTGGAATGTCCCAAATTTTCACCTATAGACAGAACAGGACAGAAACAAACATTTAAAAAAGTACCCAATGAAAAAGTGCAATCAAGTAACAAAGTTAGATAGAAATGTTCTCCAACCAGCAACATAAAACTACTCAGACCATACACTAGTCGGATTTTCGTCAAGTCCAGCTAACTCTGCTGAACTATGACCTGTATATGGTTCCCTCAGGACTCCCCCCCCCC